CTCCTCTCCTCTCCTCTCCTCTCCTCTCCTCTCCTCTCCTCTCCTTTCTTCTCCTCTCCTCTCCTCTCCTCTCCTCTCCTCTCCTCTCCCTCTCCCTCTCCCTCTCCCTCTCCCTCTCCCTCCCATTCTCACTATCCAGCTCCCTTCTTCCCTTTCTCCCTCCCTCTGCCTTTCTATAACTCTGCCTTACAAATGAATAAAATTTAAAAAAAATCTCCACAGGATCAGGATTGTGGCACAGTGGTTAAAGCTTCCTCCTGCAACACCAGCATCCCATATGATCACAGGTTCGCATCCCAGCCACTCCACTTCCTATCCAGCTCCCTTCTAATAGCCTGGGAAAGCCCTCTTCTGCCGAAGATAGCCTAAGTGTTTGGGCCCCTGCAGTCCATGTGGGAAACCCAGATGAAGCTCCTGGCATTACCCTGGCCCAAACCCAACCATTGCTGCTATGCGGGGAGTGAACCAGCATATGGAAGACCTCTCTGTTTTTCCTCTTTCTTTGTAACTGTTTCAAAATATATAAATAAATATTAAAAAAACTATTCACAAGAAAGTTGAAGTAATTATTAGAATATTTGTCATTTATATATTATCATAAAAACAAGATATTGAATTCAGCTTTTCCAGTCTTTAATACAAATGAATATTTAAAAATAAATATCAGTTACAAAAGATACATTCTCTTGTTTTTTAGAATTTTTAATTTTTTTGTGTGTGTGAAATAGAGCTTTCTTTTACTGGTTCATTCCCCCATTCCCACAAAACAGGAATTCACTTTAAGTTTCCCACATGAATGGCAGGAGGCCAATTACTTGAAGCCATTACTGCTGCCTCTAGCATTTGCATTAGCAGGAAGCAGGAGTCATAAAACTGACACAGGCATGGAGCCCAAGTATTCCAACTTATGATATAAGCATCTTATCCAGTACCTTAAGCACTAGGCTAAATGCCTACTACCCCAGCAGATTTTTAATTATAAGGGTTTAAATAAATGAGATCATGGTGTAAAAGTAACAGCATTGTTGTTATATAATGTCACAAAGCATTTAATAATGGAAAATGCCTTGGATTTTTTCTGATAATTATAATGCTATAGCTATCACATCAAAATCATATGTTGATAAAGTACAAGTACAATTAATGGAGGGGAAATTATCAGGCATGACATGAAGAACCATTGTGCTCATTTCAGTTCCACTGTTACATGAACTGATGCTGCTAATTTCATCTCTCTGGGGCATAAATCTCTGACATATAATTGAAGATTTTCAAGTATTTGTCGTTATGAATTGTTTTACTTTAAAATCCATTGTACTTTTCGATATATCAAGATTATATTTACACAGTATAGCTATGTATGTTTTCATAAGTGAGTGTTTGGAATAGTTTAAAAATTATTGGAAATTTTATATTAAGGGCAATTTCTAGTATTTTTATTTATTTTTAAAGATTTTTTTTGAAATACAAAATAACATAGAGGGAATGAGAGAGGGAGAGAGAGAGAGAGAGAGAGAGAGAGAGAGATTTTTCATCTTCTGTTTCACATCCAAATGGCCACAATAGCCAGAGGTGGGCCAGGCCAAAGCCAGGAACCTCGAACTCAGCCCAGGTCTCATGTGGGTGGCAGGAATCCAGTGGTATGGGCCATCATCCTCTGTTTTCTAAGGCACATTAGCAGAAAACTGGATCTGAAACAGAGCATCAGGGACTTGAACTAGCCACTCTGCTATGATATGTTGGCATCCCAAGTGGCAGCTTCCCCTGCTGCACAATAAGCTGATCCCTCCACTGTTTCTAGATTCATAAAAGTGCATGAGTATAGATAATTTTAGAGTTGTTTTACTAGAATTTTCACCAGTTCAACAAATACCCATGTGATCTTTTAATTTATGAATAGGCACATGAATATTAAAATTTATTTCAAACAATCCCTTTTAGTTATAAGTCCTGAAATATACTTGCTGTGCTTTGTAGTCTGGGGTGGGTCTCTTCCTATATGTATGGTGTTAGTTTATCGCTGGAGATAAGTTTTTATATTCCCAAACTGGTAATCTAGTTAAATAAGGATAAATCTATAACATTGTCTTGCTCCAGTAAATTCCCAGAAACATGCAGTATTTCAGATCATGATCTATCTTTGTACCTTACAGTCATTTATTCATGTACTTCTTATTATTAGCTCATAGTAATTTCTTTCTCCAATTATTGACATTTCTATTAATATTTTGACAGTAAGTTAAAATAAATACTATGAATATGTTTTATTTGTCATGCTATAAGATTATGCAAAAGATATTTTGGTGACTTCAGTAAAATAGTATATATGAATTTCATTGTATGTTCACAGGAAATATATAATGTGTGACAGATTTTATCTATTTATCAATTCTGTCATTGTCACATTTTTATTTAAGTAACTGAAATTTATTGAACTCCTAATTTCATGGATAATGTTTTGAGTGTTGAGATAATGGGATAAAAGACCATTCAGTTAGGAATTAAAATAACTTCTCTACACACACACACACACACACACACAGGTTGTCTGATGATTTAACAAGAGCAATATTCTGCTTGAGTCTGCCATAGATCTTTTGTCTTTCATTTATATTCCAGGATAGCCAACTAATTTTACTGTTTTTTCTTGTGAATAATTGAGACTATAAGTGAGAATTAGCCCTTGAGGTAAAACTGGTTTTGTTATTGATCATTTTAAATAAGAATAAAATACAGTTAAATTTCCAAATGAATAGGTTGACATTAACAATGAAGCTGAAAAATAATTGCTCTTGGGTCATTCCAAAAAAATATTCAAAGTGACTATGTTATTTTTTTTACTGTGCCCAATTATGAAGCAATATTACTGCAGTTGTCTGATTACTAGTATTAGATGACATAATACAGCAGTTGATAGAAATATAGTGTTTGAGGAAAGCCAGAACTACATAAAATTTCTTATAGGTCCATAGCTTTAAAAGACTGAATAAAACATTTAACTAAGAACATAATTTCTGAAGAAAATTGCATTAAATTTTCAAGTACAAGAGGTGAAGAAAATAATAGGAAAGGGTGTGAAACTCCTGAATGAGTTTGGGTGAACAAATCAGAGACAAACACCAGTATCAGTTTCTACTTTGTTTGAAATGATTAAGTATAATTGTCATGTGATAACTGCTAATGAAATATTCTTCTGTTTTATGCTCTCCTCCACTTTCCAATGCTATTAGCTGTTAGCTGTGGTCACCCTGGTAGTCCAATTTATGGAAGAACAAGTGGAAATGGATTCAACTTTAATGATGTAGTAACATTTTCTTGCAATATTGGGTATCTTATGCAAGGACCAACAAAGGCACAATGCCAGGCCAACAGACAGTGGAGCCATCCTCCTCCTGTGTGCAAAGGTAAAAGACTTAACTGTATTCTAATGAGTCATAGTAATAATGTATCTGTGTAAATAACATTTGAAACAGCTTGGGTAAAACAGTATAAAGTTTTTAGCCAATAAAGCAAAAAGCTTGAATATCGAAGTTATCTCATAGCAATTTGTTCCATTTTCTTAATTTTTATAATTTTTTGAAAACTGGCAGATTTAATCTCCACTTACTTTTTTTAAAATCTTGTAAACACATTGTATTGCATATTAAGTCAACGAGAACATTTTTACTTAGAATTTGCTTTATAATTAATAGAACTTCATAAGTTTCAGATAACTATGTTTGAGGCATGAATTACCATGATACCTGGATCAAGGCTTTATTTTCTCTATAGAAACAGATTAAAGAGAATTCTCTGGTGATATCCGACTTGCAAAAAAGTAGAATATACTTTATATTATCTGATAAAAGACAACCAAGTAACCATTTTCTATGTTTTAATGGTACAAGTATGGATGAAAAGCTCTCATTCTCTAAATTTGTACACAATATAGTATTTGTTGAGCTGCTGTTGTTCAAAGAGATTGTCAAAACTTTTTTCCATTTTTCTCTTTCCAACAAACCATTCAAATTTCAATCCATTATCAAGATAGTCTATAAATTAATTCTAGGAATCTTTGATTTATTTGATTAAATTTACATTTGAGATTAGGTTTATGGATTTATAATAAAAATCTCTATGGATATATATTCCAAATATAGCTCATAAAACTTATCTCTTGTTTAGTGGTCAACTGTTCTGATCCTGGAATTCCAGCCAATTCCAAAAGAGAAAGTAAAATAGAACATGGGAATTTCACCTATGGCACTGTGGTATTCTATGATTGCAATCCAGGTTATTTCTTATTTGGATCTTCAGTTTTGATATGCCAACCAAACGGACAGTGGGACAAACCTTTACCAGAATGTATCAGTAAGTAGATAATGTGAATTGTTCCTTAAAAACAGATCAATGAAGCAATATGTATGTTTACTGTCTTTGTAAAATTTCTAGAGCTATATATAGAAGGAAGTATATTAGCTTTATTGATTTATTATTTAGAAATCAAACTTCCCCATATCATGCATATCAATGTTTAAATTAATGTATAATTCTTGGGTTTTGAAAGTTGATCATTTATGAAAATAAGGCATTTTGTGTACTCATCCCAGAAGAGGTTACTGGTGCTTTTATTTTGTACTAGCATTTGAAATTTTATTAATAACCAAATTAGTTTCAATGTAAACATCCATCAGAGTTTCAGAATGCCTGAGACTTTAGAAAAAAAGTTTATTGAAAACCTGTTGACCTAAAATATTTGCTATATATAGATGTTAATAAACATCATCTTTCAAATCAACAACTACTTAATGACTTTGTTTTAGTTGTATGTTTTGTTAGAAGTTGTAAAGTATAAATAAATTATAGCAAAATGCATGTAACTAATGTTTATAGTGAAAAAAAAATTAGCAAATTTTTTTTCAAATTTTGTAGACATAAAGAAGTAAATATGAACTCTAGGAATTTAGCTAATTGATGGACCTGAAATTGAGTGTGGATGAATCTTAAACCTTACAGGAAAGAAAAGTAGAACTGGGAAGATAGAAATTGCCCATAAAGAAATTATTTACAAAAAGTTTTTGGTTGTACTAAATTTTATAAATTTTTTATTATCATGTTATTCAGAAGTATTTCCTTTACATTAATGAGGTGTGCTTTTATGAATTTTGTGTCAAAATTCATGTGTTAATGAAATCACAAAACTTTTTGCTATATCTATAAAATTTCAGATTCCATGTAAATAATTTATAAAATTAGCCTACTTATTAAAGTGTATTTACTTCCTTTAATACACAACTATAATTGTGCTTTTTTTGAAAGTGATACATTTTATTCAAAAGGTGAGAAAAACACACACCTACACATGAGAGCATTGTTCAGGGAGAGTGGGCCAGTAAATGAAAAAGAGTGAATTCAATACCCTGCTTGCTCTGGGTACACATGGAGACACACATACACAGAGAGAGAGAGAAAGAGAGAGAGAGAGAGAAAGGAAGAGAGAAGGAGAGAGAGATAGGAGTTGAATTGTTTGAATAATTCTCTTCCTTGGTCTTGTATAACTGTAACATTAAAGTTAAAAAATCTCTTTGTAAGATATGTAAGACTTAAGTTCTTTAGTTCTCACATACTTTTTGCGTGATTTCCTGTCACTCTTCTTCGTTGTGAGCTAAGTACTCAAATGTTTCATTAAGTTCATGTGTTCTTATGTACTGTTCTTATGTGCTGTTTGACACTTTAGAGATATGTGATAGTCAATATTTTTTCCAGTGCAGCTGATAGAGAGCACACGTTAAATTCCCAGTCTACCTTTTGCTTCTAAGGAATATCCTACAATTTATTGATTCTGATTCTGCTACTCCTAGCAGTGTATTGATTGACAAACCACTGAGTAATTTCTTTGCACAGCACAATTTATTCATTAACAGTTTGAAATAGAATGATTCTAGACTATCCATTAATTAGATTAGTAATCACAGATTCATCTGCACACCATCTGTTTACTCTCAAATTTCTTCCCTTTCAATTTCTATATACTTTTTTCTTTTTTTATAAATAAAAAAGAGAACAAATTTCACTCATTCTATAGGTTAAGTTCCAAGAATACAACCATCCTTCCTTACCCCCTACAATTATTCTCCCTCCCTCCCCTTTCTTCCTTTCATTGTTTTTTTGCAGAGACATAATCTTAATCCACTCTATATTCAGAGGCTTGATTCACCACTAACCATAATATTCAACAAATAAAAAGTAGGAAGACAACAGTTCACAGGAGTATAAATAAGGGCTAAGAATGACAACCATATCACAAAAGTCTACTTTATTCTTATATATTCTCTTATATTGCATATTAAATTTCACATATCAGAAAAACATATAATATTTGATTTTTGATACTGGATTATTTCACTAAGCATAATGGTTTCCCATTGCATTCATTTTGCTGCAAAAGACAAGATTTAATTCATTTTTATGATTGAGTAATTTTTCATAATGTATATATCTGTACATTTTATTTATTCAACAGTTGGTCAGTTGATGGACATCTGGGTTGATACCATATCTTAACTAATATGAATGACCTCACTTTGAATCTTACATGACTTCCTTTTTCCATATTTAGTGTCACTTATCTCTCTGACTTGTACATCTGGTCCAGGCATATACACACTTCAATCAAATACAAATGGACTCATACTTACCACTCACACTATGTACAGACTTGTTATAATTAATCATTTTTATGTTTGCCTTCTAATATTTCTGTTGTACTCAACCTCAGGATAAGTGCATTAACAGAATAGCTCCTATAACTACAAATTCCATTTTATTTTTAGAAATCTAATTTAATCATGATAATATTTGATTCTATAGGCTTTAGATGTTGAAGCAGAAAATTTACTTCTAATTTATTATATGTCATTTCATAAACAATTTGGTTCAGGTTGTTCGATAGGAGATATAAAAAAATTTTATATTCAATAATTATGTATTGTAGTGATTGACTGTGGACACCCTGGCGTTCCTCCTAATGCAGTCCTGTCCGGCGAGAAGTATACTTTTGGGTCTACTGTTCACTATTCCTGCACAGGAAAGCGTTCCCTTCTAGGCCAGTCATCAAGGACTTGCCAATTAAATGGCCATTGGAGTGGATCACAACCTCATTGTTCAGGTAATACTTGGAAAATCAGTGTCTTTTAGAAATTATGATATTAACATTATGTTCAGAAATATATACACAAAACAATCTAAATACATAAAACAATAAGTTTAAATTCTAAAAACCTAAGAGCCGCAGTTGTTTGGCAGAGCAGAATACCTCCATCCCATATCAGAGTGCCTGGTTTTGATTCCTGGCTCTGCTTCCAACACTGGCTTCCTTCTCATGTGTATTCTGGAATGCAGCAGGTGATGGCTAGTGTATTTTTGCCTCTGCCACCCATGTGGGAGACCCAAAATTATATTCTTGACTTCTGACTTTGGCCTGGCCACATGCTGGCTATTTTAGGCATTTGGGCAGTAAACCAGCAGATGGAATATCTCTCTTGTCTCTTACTCTCGCTCTCTTTCTCTCCCTATTTCTTTCTTTTTCTCTCGCTCTACTCCTTTCAAACAAAATGAAGTATTTTTTTTTTTATTTTGATGAGGTAAGCTGGAAATTTGCCTACACATTAATTGGATTAATTCTAAGGTAATATAAATCCAGATTGCAAATTGACACTGATTTTTGTAGACAGTAAATTACAGGTGTATATTTTTAACTATGATGTATAAAGTTGAAAATCATTTGGTTTTAGGATGGTACACTAAGTGAAGTGCTTTGGTTCATTAAAATGTTGGAATTACTCAATCTAAAGACCTATTCCATTTTAGCAGACATCAAATATTATTTTTCCTGATGACTATGTTGTGTCAATGATTTTTCCCAAGTTAAGTTCTGTTAACCTCATAAGCAATTGTTTACTTAATGGCATAAGTTGAAAATAAAGTCCTAAATGTTTTAAATTGAACTAACCTAACAAGTTAAATTATTTATCTATGCATCCTATTAATAATAATCAACATATAACTCTTGAGCCTTTACATTAATTGAGTAAAATTTGAATAAAAATATTAATGTTATATGTAATTAATAATTTGTTCACTGAGTGTGTATTTTATATTTTTCCTTTGAGATGGTTAAGCTGCTGCTTTTCTTCAAAAACACTAACTTTATTTTAGATCTAGGAAGACTTCCCAATTGATACTGTTTTGTTTTCACCCACAAAGTAGATATTATGCTTATTTTTCCTCTGTTCTTTTTAATTATAGATTTTCTTTTCTTATTACTTTGTTCCTGTGAATATCATACTGATGGCTTAGTATGAGTTGCTTTACAATGTTTTCCCTGTAGATGTGAAAGTTGTGAAATGGTTACCTAGTCTCTGAATCTTCTTTTGACTAGTAGTTAATCCCTATGACATCACTACCTGAAAATTTTCAATCCACTTTTAAATGTGACTATAAAACTAATTTTCATGAGAATAATTGTTTCACTTTGCAGTAACTCATAGTAGAGTAACCCTCAGTGAACTGGTTATACATAAACACATACATACACCAACTTGTTTGAAGACTACTACTGAATTACAAAAACAATGCACACAGATACCTAAATGTGAAATACTGATCTAAAATTTGAGTGGTTATTAATATTACATCACATGAAAATGAGAAGGTATATATTTATAGATTCCAAATACACAGGGCATTTGCAAAGGCAAATAGAAAGAGGACATTTTCTTTTTTTATTTTAAAGATTTATTTTATTTATTTGAGAGTCAGAATTACACAGAGAAGGAAAGGTAGAGAGATAGAGAGACGTCTTCCATCTGCTGGTTCAGTCCTCAGTTGGCCGCAATGGTTGGAGCTGTACCGATCAAAGCCAATAGCCAGGAGCTTCTTCCGGGTCTCCATGTGGGTGCAGGGGCCCAAGGACTTGGGCCATCTTCTACTCCTTTCCCAGGCCACAGCAGAGAGCTGGATAGAAAGTGGAACAGCTGAGACTCAAACTCGTGCCCATATGGGATGCTGGCACTGTAGGCGGCAGCTTTACTTGATACACCACAGTGCCGGCTCCAAAAGAGGACATTTTCAATGCTTTCTCTCATTATACATTAATGCTATGGCAACTGTGATAAGAATTATTTTAGTATTAAAAGAACTGAGTACAGACTGAGTAAATCTTTTTTTTTTTTTTTAAAGATTGATTGTTTTGCAAGTCAGAGTTACACAGAGAGAGGAGAGGCAGAGAGAGAAAGAGGTCTTCCATCCAATGGTTCACTCCCCAATTGGCCAAAACGGCCGGAGCAGTTCCAATCCGAAGTCAGGAGCCAGGAGTTTCTCCTGGGTCTCCCACGTGGGTGCAAGGGCTCAAGGACTTGGGCCATCTTCTACTGCTTTCCCAGGCCATAGCAGAGAGTTGGATTGGAAGTGGAGCAGCCAGGACGAACTCGCGCCCATATGGGACGCTGGCGCTTCAAGCCAGGGCGTTAACCCGCTGCACCACAGCACCAGCCCCTGAGAAAATCCTTAACATGGAAACAAAAAAGATATAACCTAGTTATTAGCATATCGGGAAAGATTTCTTATTCATTTTTTCATATATGAGAAACAGTTCATTCATCTTTGTTTATTAATAGGCATTGCTAGAAAAAATTACAAGAAGTTTTATGCTATAGGGAAACCATACTGCAGTATTTACATGTTTTGGTACACCACATTTTAGTTTAAAAATATTTTCAGTTCATATGAAATTCCTAGAAGGAAACATGCGAGGTATTCATTCAGTTGTTTAATTTTAATTTTGTAAATTCATAGTACTGTTGATTATAAATTTCCCATTAGGTTGGTTATATTCTAGGCTCTAGGAATACTAATGAAGTGTTCTTAATCTATTTATTGTCTTTGGATATCAGTGGACACCATACTATGCAACTATTTTTTTTTTATTTAAGATTTTCTTCTTATTACTGCAGTCAGATTGGATATAGGAATATTGATATCATGGTAAAATATAAGATACCCCAAAACAAATGCCTACCAGATAGTTCACCCAAACCTTGACTTCATAATACTTACTGACATACATGAACTTTAAATGTATTTTTTTGCAGGTGATGCCACTGGTACATGTGGGGATCCAGGCACTCCTGGTCATGGCTCTAGACAAGAGAGTGATTTCAGAACTAAAAGTACTGTACATTTTGCTTGTGATACTGGTTACATCCTTCATGGCTCAGAACAAAGAACATGTCTAGCCAATGGCAGTTGGACTGGAAGGCAACCAGAATGCAAAGGTAATCTCAACCAGAAACTAAGTATATTACAAGTGCTGAGATTTAATATGTATTCATAATTGGTTACCACTTGGAAAAGTACTCCTGGCTTTGTTTCATCTTAATCATGGAGTAAAAGCAGTGGTATTTCAGTATCACTCTAAAAGAGAACTATGACAACTAAAAGTTATGTTTTAAAAAAATCTCAGTGATTGTATATCAAAATTGTTCATGTTGTAGCAGACATTTAGATTGAAAAGTTAAAGAAAGAAAATGTGTGTGGGCTTTTGGTGAGATGATTAGGATGCTGCTTGGGATACCCGCATACTGTGTCAGAGTGCCTGGGTTGGAGTCCTGGCTCCACTTCTGATCCAGCTTCTGGTTAATGCACACCCTGGAAGAAAGTAGGTGATGGCATAGTACTTAGTCCCCACCACCCACGAGAGGGACCAGCACTGGTTGCCATTTCCTCAGTTCAGCCTGATCCAGACTTTCAGTTGTGGCCATTTGAGGAGTGAACAAGTCTGTGGAAGATTCTCTGTCTCTCTCTCCCTTTCCATCTCTCCCAGCCCTGTCTCTTTCCCATTTATCTTTAAAACATTCTGATAATGTGCAAACTGGAACTCTATTAGTTCTAGATGATGTTTATTGTTATGAGGAGAATTTGACAAATTTGACTCATAGGACATATCTATACTTTTAGTTCATTATTCTACTTAGGAATTTTTTCCAGCAGAAAATAAAAATGTAAATAATATACTCAATCTTGAAAATGAAATGTTAATTATTTATAACTAGTAATAATTGGAAATGTTACACTAGGAAATATTACATAAATAATTATTTTATATAATTTGTGTATAGTAAATAATATATTAGCATAAATGCAATGAAGCAATATGAAAAAGTATATGGCATAAAATATAGTTAAACAAATTTAAAATTGAATACTCTGTTAGAACATTGGAAATGATACTTGTTTGAAAGAAAGTATTAAGTATATAAAATGATAATAGAGCAAAATTGCCAAATTAGTAATATTTATTGTTTGTTATAAAAGTTTTACATTATTGCTCCATTACTTTTAGATATTTCTTAAAATTGGACATATATACAGAGTTTATATATGTTAGTATATTATTATAACTAATGATTATGAAAAATTAAACAAAGTGAAAGTTAATGTTTATCAATAGGGGATTATTCAGTTAAGATATGAATTACACATAATGGAAAACTCTTTAGTCATCAGTTTTACTGCAGAAAGTTTAATCTTGGGGCTGGCATTTTGGTGCAGCAGATTAAGCCACTGGCTGCAACGAAGGCATCCCATATGGGTGATGGTTGAGTTCCGGCTGCTCCACTTCTGATCCAACCCCCTGGTAGTGCACCTGGGAAAACAGCAGAATGTGGCAGAAGTGCTTGGGTCCCCGTATTCACATGGGAGACCTGGATGGCGTTCCAGGCTCCTCGCTTTGGCCTGGCCCAGCCCTAGCCATTGTGGCCATTTTGGGAGTGAACCAGCAGATGGAAAATTTTTATCTTTCTGACTCTCCCTCTGTCTGTAACTCTGTCTTTCAAATAAATAAATAAATATTTAAGGAAAAATGTTGCCATATTAAGTAAATATAATGGTGTTTTAAAACAGCATGTATATTATGGTTCTTTTTAAATTTTAACATTTCATTAGTATATGATCTGTCTAGCACAATGCCTATTTATATTATAATGTGATTTATATTTGTATTAATGTATATTAATATGTGCATTATATATGAATATACAAGTATTTTATCAAGTGTCATCCCTTAATAGTGGACTTATGAGTGATCTTTATTTTCTTCCTTATATTTTCATTTTTTTTGACATTTTAGAAATGGCTGCTTAATATTTTGGTAAAAGAAAAAAATGTTGCAGTGAGCTTAAAATAAAAATTATCTCTAATAACAGAAGAAAAGTAAACATAAAATATACTTCATGTGAAAGATTCAATACAAAAATACTCAAAAACATGTACTGTTTAAACTTATTATTCACTATCCTGAATATGATCCAATGCTTTCATTATGTGCTATCAGAATCATTCCTAGGAATTTGCACTAGATGAACAATCTGCAATTACATATCTGTGTGATACTGGGCAAATTAGCTGTGTTTCAGTTATCTACCAAGAATAGGTAATAATATCAGTACTATTTCATAGTATTGTGAGGTAAATATCACTGGAAGACTGTGACTGCCACGGAGTAACTGCTCAATGACTATTAACGATCATTTTATTAATTAGGTATTTTGATACTGCTGGGAAATGACTCTGAGGAGAGATGACTTTGGAAGCTAGTCCTAAATGTAGATGGAGTTTTGCTCACAGGCAACAATAAATCCCTGGTTTTGTGTAAATGTGGTAAATGTGAAAAATGTATGTTTCCTGTCTACACAGGCATGGGCACATACACATTACTACTGCAAATGAGAGGCATAGTGAAATATTTAAGATGCGGCAAGGGATATCAATGAAAAGTTGTTAGATTATAATCATATTTCATATTCATATAGATGTAAATTCTATAGAGTACTAAAATGCCTTCTGATATTACAATAAAACATTATTTATTTGATATAGAATTTTTAATATATTTTAAACTTATGGTATTGATGGCAAATAAACATATTACATTAATCATAAAGACTTGTGCTTGTGATTCCAGTCTAGGAAATGTTGAAAATTTATTGAAAACCATTGCTGGAATTTAGTTACTTTATTTTTACTGAGTTTATTTTTAAAATTCCTTGTCCCAAAAATTAGTTTATAAAGTTTTAAAGCAAGCCATTTCTCTATTTATATAAATAATACATTAAAATTATATAAATATTAAACTATTTAAATATTAAAATTATATAAAGTTATATGAATAAAATGTTAAAGTTATAAATGGTTATAATTTTAAAACTGTATAATTTGTAGTTGTCTACTTAGAAGTAGAAGTGTAATATATCTCTATTGCATTTTATTATTTTACATATCTTCTCATTTCTCATTAGATGCATTTTTAGAGATCACGATAATCCTTCTCTGATTTTACAATACTGAAATGCAATATTCTTCAAGTAATTACTTTGTAAATTTTTCCTGAAGCTACTAACAAAGGTCTTTAAACGTATCTGTTATATGATTTCCAGTCTGTAATTAAGCAAATAAAATCAACATAAACTTGTCTTAAATTTAAACCACTTATGAAAAATAGTTTGCTGCTTATTTCAGAAATTTTTATTGCTTCTCTGGGTAATTTGGGGGGATCTTTTAATCATTAACTTTTTGTGAAGTGATTTCCAGTTACATTGCTTTAATATACACTCATACATTTTGTTTTACAGCCGTACAGTGCGGTAACCCAGGAACAACAGCCAATGGGAAAGTCTTTCGTATTGACGGCACAACGTTTTCTAGTTCAGTCATTTATTCGTGCATGGAGGGATACATCCTTTCTGGACCTTCAGTTAGACAGTGTACAGCCAACGGGACATGGTCTGGAAGTTTGCCAAACTGTACAAGTAAGTTGTTTCAGCAGACTTTAAAATCATTACTTACATGAAAGTGTTCATGAATATATGAATGTGTGTAAGTTTGAATTGTCATTAATAAAGCCCAGCAAAGGTTTCAGTATTTGTATTGCCTTTCCAATTGATAGGTGGTAGTAGTATTATGGTTGGAGTATACGCTAGTCATTTAACGAATCAATTGGTTTACCTAGGTTTTACTTTGGCTGGCAGAGGAAAGGGAGATTATAGAAAAGCAGCACTATTAAACATAATTTTAAACAGTTTAATTTTAAACTATTAAACAGAATTTTAAGAATAATGAGGTAGCCGTAATCAAAATTCACTATACAAAGAATGTAACTTTATTGTACAAATCTAACACATATTAGTAACACACTTGACTATTAAAGGCATATCAGTTATTTATGTGCTCTTTCACTGGTATAGTCAAGATAGCTGATTTCTGCACTGTGATAACAACACTTGCTTGAGAGAGATTTTTGAAATGAATAAATGAATGCCCTTGTATGGAATAAAAATGAATGAATGCCCTTGTATGGAATAAAATAGTATTTATTTAAACACCAATAAAATATCTAATGGAAAAATTCTATTTCCTTATGCTCATTAGAAAGAAATCACATATGTCTGTGTGGAACAGTTGATTGTAGCAAATATGCCACTGTAGTATGGAATGTTGACAGTGAGGAAAGGTTTACAAAGGGGAGCATGCAGTATGAAGTTGGTCATCAAAAGGTCCACAGAAAATGTATCTTATGAAAAAAATTTATGCATGGAATTTAGAAAATTTGCACTAAAATTAACATTAATTCCATTTTCCATGAACAATCTGAATTATCCTTTATATTGGAATTCTATACTTTCTGCCTAATTTTGCTATAAACCTAAAACTTCTTTAAATGATAAAGTCTATTTCAAAAAATAAATTACTGCAGTGGTATCTTGTAAATCATGAAATTTTTAAAAACAGCAGAGTTAAGTAGGATAAATAGACACTATGGAAGTCATCAGAGGGGGCTGCTAAAGCCTCTTTAGCAGAGCAAACTCTTAATGTTACAATGTGGCAGATTATTGGTTCTTATAGGAAGACTTGCTAGAAGTAGACAAATTTGTAATAACGTAAAAGAGCTTAAGTAAAATTTTTACAAATAAATGACATGTTGTCTCTAGGTCACCAAAAGCATAGAGCTTAATTTAATGCCATATTGATAAGTTCAATGGCTTTTTATACACTGTTCAGTAGTTGTTTGTAGACTGTGTCAGCAATGGAATGGCCCTTGACTAACAAAACATTTCCCAGAAATTTGAATGAGGAGGTGGGCCTTGTACTACTTGTGGGGCAATGATCTATCAGACCAGATCTTTTCTTCTTTTTCTACACTCATTTGTATTTTTATTGCATGAACAATTGGTTCAAATGAATACACTTCAGAGGAGGAATCCATTAAAGTAATAGCATACCTGTATTCCTGGAAAAAATAGGTTGTAGTAAAAATCTTGTCTGAAAAGTTAGTGTGCAGTGGTAGTGCTGGTGAGATATCCCAGGTGTACTATGTCTCTTCAAAGGTGAAGGCAAACTGTGATTGGGAGGCTGTTAAAATAGGCAATGAATGAAATCCATCAGTAAAACCTGAAATAATAAAATATTTTCCAGTTATGGCTTGGAGTCAACCAATTGGAATTAAAAGGGGATCTTAAGCTGGACTGTGAGTCATTTAGGTTGTGGAAATCTATTTTTAGATGCACTTCATTTTTATTAGGTTTAAACATTGACCATAGAAAACCAAAGGAAGAGTGGACATTCTTTCAGTAGCTATTGTACAGTTTTTCTTAATTACTGGAGATGTTGTTTTATCTATACTGGATTGCATTAATTATTATAATCAGTGCAAATGTCCATGGGATTCTGTTTTGTCAAGATGAGTAAAAGTGCCACATATTTAATCTAATTTTAATTTGTTATTATTTGGCTCATTGTTCATATGGGAATATTTTAGGTACATGGGCACTGTGATCATTGAAAACTTAGACAAGATAATCATGTTAATGTTTAATTTGAGACATACATGTTGATCCTCTATTTTACATTTGGAAGCTCCCCTAAAGCACATGATGTGCCTTATGTAAATTCAAGGCAGTCTCTGGGTGCTACTGTGATTTCAGGCTCTGTGCCTATTAAGACAATGAAGATTTTTCAAGTGCTGCATATCAAGAAATGTTCAAATTAATTTAAAATGTGCTATGGAGATATGAACGATAATTTGATTTTCTGTTGGTTGAATAAATTATTTTAGTAAAATTTGGTTTTCTTATTATATCCAATTATGGACTGTTATTTCAGCTTTTATTTCCACCCCCTGTATCCAGGCCTTTTTTCTTTTGTCTTTTTGTTTTGTTTTGTTTGGTTTGGCTTTGCTTTGCTTTGCTTTGCGTTGCTTTGTTTTGATGGGAGCTGGGATTGGGAGAGGGCAGTTACCAGATAAACTTTAGATAGAAGTTATCTTTTATTCTCTGTCCATATTTATAAGTATCTCTTCTCAGAAATTTTCAAATAGATATTTTTAGGATTAGGGAACTTCCTCAAGGCAATTATCACTTTAAAGGTGTTAGGGACTGTTGCTTAAATCAGGTTTCAATCATGTCCATAGCTGTGCCATGGGGTGGCATTAGTGGTATTTCTCTGTAACTTTATGATCAGAATCTTTTGGATGTCAGATCCATGGGTGGCAGCAGCAGTAGCAAGCAATATCAGCAGTAAAAGTAGTCCATGGGTTCCAGTTGAACCATCTACTTTTAGAATTGTGGATGTGAGCATACCAGATAGTGATTAAACTTTCTCAGATGGCAGCCACTGGATGGGTCTGCTTGTTGCATCAGCCTTTCACCTGAATGAGAATTAACATCTACTTGAGATATGCAATAGAAGAGGGGTCAACACCTGTTTGAGACATGCAACCCAGTAGTCATGGAATAAGACTTGTGTCCTTTATTCTCAATCTTTTTTGGATTGAGATGTATAATTACCCGAGACACAGAGCTTAGTCCAGGCTGATTCAGATCATTTGAGGGAGCCCCCACCCCTCCAAAAAAATAAGGTGCCTCGTACTATACTCCCTCCTCTAAATTTCAGTTTTTGATAATTCTGACCTGAATCATTCATTGAAATTTATACAAAACAAACGAAATACTCAACAAAACACTACAAATCACCTTGTTCTCAAGTTGCAAGCACAGTAGCACAGCTCAACACATTGTAGCCACCAGAGAGCAGAGCCAGCTAGTAAGTCAAAAACAATAGAAGAAAGATGCCCAAGTAGTGGTGGTCATAGCATAGACCATACTACTCACAGCACTAGTTGTTCTGTGGTTGCCCAGTGAAGGGCATGATCAACTTCCTGTTTCCCCAAGTCAATTTGTTAACCACTGATGGATGCCACAAAATAGAAGATGTACTGAGAAGATATTAAAGATTTTCCACACATCATGGCTCTCAGCCGAGTGGGGAAGGTACCTAAGCTGGTCGGAAGTGGCATAAATGGTGGGGTGGATGAACAGGTTTGATATTTGGTTGCGATTAGGGATGTGGACTCAGAGAGAATGCCTAAAGATGTATCAGGATTTGCTCAGTTTGAACTTCCTTGCTGGTGCCATAGGCAGGAAACAGCCAGGCTTTCTGTTCAACTGACCCAGCTGTAAATCAGATGGGAAGGGAGAAGTTAGAGCTTGAAACATCAGAAGTGGAGTCAGACTGTGTATGACAATATATTGTTGTCAAGTATTTTACTTTTGTTACTGCACACTACATTGTTAGTCATATGTATCTAAACATTCGATTACTCCTCGAGAGATTTAAGTAGTAACACAAGTCTTAAATATTTGTATATGTGAACACCACTTCAGGTTGCCTTCATCCTTTTGCATACATCCATATTTCCAAATGATGTAATTTTTCTTTTGCCTTTCTACTAATCATTTTTTGTAGTTTTCATTATTTGCATATGGATATATTTCACTTTAACAAAAAAAAAAAATCCTAGGAAACAATTCAGGGCAAGTGGTATTCCTTGCTCTGTATCAGCACTAGGTACTGTCATATCAAATGTTTCTGGGTAATTCTTTCCCATACATTGAGGTATTTCCTTACAAACTGATCAGTATTCTGCTGACCACTTGAGGATTTCCTTCCCTGATTTCCCAGAGAACCTTCTCTGGGACTGTCTCCTTTGTTACCTTGTCCAACAGACTCTGTCTCTATGGTGCTTTTCTGACTCTCAGATCCAACTTCTCAATGCACGTAGTGCATGTAATTGCACAGCTATCATAGCAAATAGGTTCTTATTCACAGTCATGCATTACACTACAATGTTTTGGTGAATGACACAGACCTCATATAGGACATTGATTCCGGAAGATTATATTGCTAGTGTTGTTGTGGACATCTATGATGTTTGCACAATCACATAAAGAAATAACCTTATTACACATTCCACAGAATGTGTTCTTCCCATTAACCGCTGAGTGGCTGTATCATATGATTTCAATATCTAGTTATCAGAGAGTAAAATAATGATTTTGAGAAGAAAAATGTATCACTGTATCACTGCGAACTTTGCCAAACAATGAGAAGAAGCAATTCATTAGGTCAGATCACTGCTCTCTTAATATTTCACAAGCAAGTGAAGCAACGTTGGCACTCTAAGAATTTTGCCCTTTGAAAATTTGACACCAGTATGATTTGAAAATACATCTTTTCATTTGGTTGATTACCAGGCAGCAGCATATACAGGTGCACTACTTTCCTGAAAGTGTTTTTTTTTTTTTTTAATTTATTTGACAGATAGAGTTAGACAGTGAGAGAGAGACAGAGAGAAAGGTCTTCCTTCCCTTGGTTCACCCCCCAAATGGCCGCTCCAGCTGGAGCTGCGCCGATTCAAAGCCAGGAGCCAGGTGCTTTTCCTGGTCTCCCATGCGGGTGCAGGGCCCCAAGCATT